CAAAAATTTTCTCGGACAACGGTAGAACATTTTTAGGAGCAAGCAATCACCTTCGAAACCAGTTTGATGCACTAACAAAGGATCCAGATATCCACAAATACATGACAGAAAATATGATAGAATGGAAATTCAACCCTCCCAATTCTCCTCATCATGGTGGACTTTGGGAGTCAGCAATAAAAATATTCAAATCGCAATTGTATAAAGTAATAAGAGCAAGAATATTTACTTTACAGCAATTAACGCAGCTTGTCCCTCAAATTGAAGCTGTGCTCAATTCAAGACCTTTGGTACCCTTGTCCAGCGCTCCTGAGGAGTTTGACGTATTGACGCCAGGTCATTTTTTAATAGGACGACCTCTAACATCTTATCCTGATAACACACCTACAAAGCACTCTACAAAAATTCTACAGGCGTATGAGGCAATACAGGAAGGATTCAACATATTTTGGAAGAAATGGCAAAGGGAGTATCTCCAACACATTCAAACATTTTCCAAGTGGCACTCAAAGAACGAATCTCCGAAAATAGGATCGTTAGTCGTAATAAAGGATAGACACTGTCCCCCGATGTTTTGGAAACTAGCAAGAATACAAAAACTTCACCCAGGATCAGATGGCATCACAAGAGTAGTTACATTGAAAACAGCAACATCCACACTAGTGAGAGCCATCACTGAAGTTTGTGTATTACCGTTAAGTGATAACTAACTTAAATTTAATGTGCTTAAAAAACACACACACAGTTTTTACTGATGAAATTTCAATTTCAAAATTTTCAAATTGTTACTTTTACCTTTTACATTTATTACTTCAAAATTTTCAAATTTTTAATGATATTCAATCTGTATACATTTTTTAAGGGGGGAGAATGTAAAAACTTTACAACACTGTATAGTTTTTAGTTGCTAAGTGATTTTCTCCCTGCTGTTCTGTGTATGCTGTTTATATATAAAAAGTTACTGCGATCCAGTTTGGTTTCCTCCGGTATTTGAGATTATTTATTTACTGATTAGTTTAGCTATTGAAAATAGCTCCAGACGGCGAACGCAGATCATTAAGCACTCTCCAATGCAGCAATAAACATTTTTGTGCA